CATCCTTGGATTTTGACGGTCACATCAAAGGAGCTGCTCTGGCGTGAGAACCGGTCAAAGTGAGCCAGATAATTCATGGATTTATTACTGAGGTCGGTTCCCATGATTGTCAGTGGGCAGCAGGCACGGCTGTGTCGTAATCCTCATTCTCTCAGTAAAGCACATAGTGCCTTAAAAAGGTTTAATGATCCAATAGTGATTTACTAATGGGAATCTTTCTTGTGGGTTTAGCGGGCCTTGGAGGAGGACAGGGCAGCACATAAAGGTCATTTTTCAGCGGTATCATTTGGCAGAAATATGTGTATTTATTTCATTTTCAGATTCCAGTTTAGAGCATTTTCAGAGTCCTGTTTCAAGCAGTTTTATCTGCTAACTGCACAGGGCAATGAGCTGAAGGGGGAAAATTGCAGCTGAGCAGGTGTCAGACTCCTCGTAACACGGGGAGGCAAGGAGGCAGGCACTGAGGATGGCAGATCCCGGCTGAGTATCGAGGTAGTTAATAAAAAGCACACACTCCAGCCTTTGAGATCAGTGGAGTAAAAGTGAGTAGAGACCTGGGGCAGCCCCGTGAAGCTGCCGCTGTGCTGAAGGTGCTTGCCTCCAGCTATGTGTTAGAAGGCTGGTTGGCAGGGCCATTTTACTGCTGTTTCACCCCATTTGCCTTTCCTTTTTGTTGGGAGGGAAGGGAGGGGGCTGTCCTGTGGGACAGCTGCCCAGAAAGGAGTCAGGGGAGGGTGAGAAGGAGAGGAAAGGATTTTGCTTTGCCCAGCTGAAGGCGATGCTCCCTGTGCAGACGAAGAGCCGCTGGCCTGGCTGCTGCTGCTCTGCATGGTGCCTCTGCAGAACAACAAAACCAAGCAAATCCAAACAAAATACACTCCCTCCTCCCTCACCAAAATACCTCCAAAAGAGGGAGATGGTGTGGGGAGAGGAACGATGTTGTTTTATTTTAAGGCTTGTGTATTAAACCCAAGTGTTGTGCTGGGAAGTGTCATTAAAAACTATTTGAACTATCTGCACACAATAGATGTCATCTTGTTAAGCCAGTTGCAAAAGCGTACCTTGAATGCGTAACTCTTTGTTTTAAAATCCCTGAGGGAGAGTCCTTCTCCTAAAGCAAAATAAAATTACTTGGCTCTCCAGTATAGTAGAAAAAAAAAAAAAAAAAAAAAAAGAGAGAGAGAGAAAAAGAAAACAGTATTCAGAGTTAAATCAAAACTGAGAAAAAAGAAAAAAGCGTAGGGTGTTCAGTAATTGTAACCCTGCCTCCTGAGGTTTATGGATTGCCTTGTAGTCATTTATTAGATTTTCACATACCACACAGTAATACAGAATGCTATTTATGGGTATTCTTTGCAGGTAAAACACTTTTCTTTACACTTACCAGTGACTTACTGCTTCCTGGAGCAGGGTGCTGATTTAATAGAAGGAGGTCTTGTAGTGTAATTTGTATGAAGACGTGGGCAGGGTTAGAAATTTCCAAACTGCTGATGATCGCAACCACAATTTCAGTGTTGCATCAAGGTATTTTTTCTGTCCTGGAGACTTTCCTTTGTAGAAGAGAGAAATGCTGAATATGGACTACGTGGAAAGCAGAATGAAACAGCCCAAAAGGACTTTCCTGTAGAATAGGTATCAGCACTGTTCAGATAAGCACAGTCTAAAGCATTTAGCGTTGCTTAAATTCAGTATTGGCAGCTGTAGCTGTAAAAGGAGCCTGCCTCTCCAGAGCTTCAAACTCATTTAAGCAGGCACATTTCCTTTTATTTCCCACATTCATTTCCTTTTCCTTCTGATTTTGATCTTCTAGGGTTCCACACTACCTTGTGTTGCCCAGCATTGCACTGCCAGCATGAATGCAGAAAAACATCCCTTTAAAAGAAATCGTGTTGAGATCACCTTGTAATCAGCGCCACCGCTGCAGCCAGAGCACTAGGAGAAGTTCAGAAGTTTGCGCTGAATGAGCTCATTGCAGGCGTTGACTGGTCTTACTTCTACAAGATCAGCAACCTCACGTTATCATCAAATGGTTTTGATAAGCTGTTATATCTTCCGTAGGCAATGAGGCAGCTAAATCTTTGGAAAAAAACAGATTGCATTTGAAAATACTGTTAAGATTCAAATCCCATCTCTTCACAGGTGATGCAAGATACAAAAGGAGAATTTGGAGCCTGGCATATGCAATTAGTGCTACTCGAGCAGCCAGGGGCTTCCCAGGCATCTGCCTGGGGCTGCCGGAGGTGATGGGACATGAGGGAGACCCGTGGCTTCCAGTGTGCAGAATGAAAGCCCTTTTCTTGAAGTTGGACAAAGTACCTGTAGCTATTACAGTAAGTTACCTGTAATTTACATCCTCATTTGTGTAATCTCAGGCTATCTGTGCCTACAGAAGTGGATGACTGAGGACACTGGTGACTATAGAGCTGGTTGGTAACAGTCCACTTTAAACTTCAGTAGTAATTTCTGATGTAGTATCTCCTGATGAAAAGATGCACATGACCTTTTGCTGTTATGAGGAAGAAATTTCTCATTTACAGTACCTTTAAGAATTTGCCAGTATGTCCTGAGCTTTGGTCAATGCCCTTTACTGATCTCATGACAGCCTGACAGAGGGAGGGCCCATCTTTCAGAGCAGCTGCAAACAAACATTTTGAAGGATGCCACCAAGGAGGCAGCAGCACGACCCCTGGCTGCTGCTCGGGCAGATGTAGTCACAGCCAGGATACGATTATTCTGCTCTGAAGACACATGCTCGGCCCTCCGCCACAACAGCCAGTTTTTCTTCTGTGGCAACACCTAATGCAGGTTTTCCTCCACTTGCAATTAGAGCAGAGGGACGGCAGGCAGCATCTCCTCTCCAGGGTAATAATTTTCTCCTGGTGCCATGTGACGTAGTGAGCCCCAGCGCTACAGCACCCAAAGTGCCTTTTATTTGTGGTGCTGAGGGCTAAGGTTTCCAGGCTCCTAATGCTGAGTGACAGAATTGTTTTTTAGCTTTTTCCTCTTAAGAAAAACATCCCAGGAAATTGCATAACCTCCTTTGATCCTCTTGATAACTGAAATTTAAGGTTGCAAACCCACACATGGAAAATTTAGTCAAAGCCAGATATACTGTGGAGTAAGCAGTCTCATTGGCTTTCTTGTGCCATGTGCTGTGACCTAGCCTTATATTATACAAATTACAGGTTCTCTTCCTCCTTCTCCAGGTCCATTCTTCAGCTGAACACAGAACAAAGATAGAAAAGGGCTGAAGTAAGCATGTGTGCACAACCTCATGTTGTACCTTTTGGAGCTCACTTACATGTATGCCAAGTGGCCAGCTTTCCCTTGCTCTGTTTTAACACTCACATGGAGTCCTTCAGCTCTGACCTGTTAGAACAGCTACAGCCCCAATCATCTGAAGCTATTACCCTCTGGTGTCTTTCCAAGAGCACGTGTATAATATGCTTCTTCTCCACTGATTTCTCACTTGGGAAATCTTCATCCACCGTTACAGGAGTGACATCCCCAACAGGAGCTCAGAACTAAATGGGAGTGAAGGCTGAGCTCCTGCGTTGCCTAGTGCTGGTCCTTTTGGATGAATCAGATAAAAAAAAAAAAAAAAAAAAAAAAAAAGGGACATCAGCAACTCAGTGTACAAGAACTTGGCCTGGATAAATGGAGTGAGAACAGCATAACCCCAGATAAAAAGGCTGCACAAATCCACCTGTGATGCCTCATATCAAAATGCTAAAAAACCAAACCAAACCAAAACACTTTCATCTGATCAGTCTCAGAAATACTTTCCAAACTACCTTTCTTCAGAACGAGGCAATATGTTGCATTTGGGGCAACAAATTGTAATGATTTGGGGCACACCAAATGGATTGAAGCTTTTAGCTGGAACCAAGTCAGTGACTGCCCATTTTTTCTGTAGTATGAAGCAGGGGAGACCTCCTACCAGGCTCTTAGAGAGCAGGTTAATAGTTAACAGCTTAAAGTCAAGTAGGGTTGCAATCTGCTCTTTTTCATGTAAATAAAGCCCACTTTTTATCTACTTGCCAGTTCATTAATGTGATCTTTCTTTTTGAAGCTGCTCATAGAGAAAAAATGAATAACTCAACTGGATGCTGCTCAACATGCCAGTAGAGCCACACAGCATTTATGTCCCCAAACTAAAAATGTAAAATTCCCCCAGAAACAGCAAAACTTCATGTAAGTTTTCATCAGCAGTGATTTATGGCACTGGGGTGGAGACCCCTTCCTCCCCATCTTTTGTCTGTTTTCTCCACAGGGCAGGCAAATCAAAGCTCCTCCTTGCCCAAGCACTGGAGACCAGTTTATGCAGGCCGGGATCAGCTACATGTTTAATATTTGGGAGACAGGGATGATGGGGGCGAGGCTGAGGCTGCATTTTGGCAACAGATGCTGTCTCTGGCAGGCTGTAAGGTTGTCACCCCATTTCTGCGCCTCAGTCTTGTCACCTGTTGCGTGGGTGTAATACACCTTTTAGTAGTGCTTATCCTTATGGCCAGAGCTTTACACACCTTCTACTGATGTTCTTTGCAGACCTAAAATGAAACAAAAGCTCTTGTCTCAGGGAGAACTGGTAAATTAGAAGACCTGGACAGGGGGTAAAAACTGCCCTCTCTCATCTAGATGATAAAGGATGTCATTGTGTTAAAATTTTCCCCTTCTGAACACAGGCCTTTAGTGAGGATCTGAATGAAAGCTGGATCTAGAAACCTCAATGCTTTGAGGAGCTCTCCAGGATGGACAGATGTGTCCGTTTCATTAAGTGCCCCACCAGTGCAGAACCAGTTTACAAGCCTAAAAATCAATGCTGTTTTACTGTTTGTTTGTTTGTTTGTTTGTTTTTCTGCCTATTTCAAAACATCCCATAAGAGATGGGCTTTCTGAATGAGAGAGGAGCAGGAGAGGGGGGAGGAGCTGACAGACGCGTTTCGAGCAATAGAGTTCACGAGTATTCCTGAAGAGCAAACAAAATCTGCAACAAATCATCCATAAAACGCAGTCAAAAAGGACTTCGTTTAATTAGTGATATGTAAAGACTTTTGCATAGAAAAAAAGGTTAACAAAGTAATGCATAAAAGACCGACTAGGTACAGTATTTTTAAAACAAATATTTTAAAGTATATTTTGCATAATGTTTAACATTCTCAATGCTTACTGCTTTCTCCACACAGCAGAGAAATCAAGTGCATAATAATACATGCTGTGTTTTATTTTTACTTTTTTTTTTTTTTACATAAAATCTCTAGTTTTTGACTCGATGTATTAAAATACTTAGGTTATTTTAAGTCACTGTAATAAAAAATGAAAGCAAAACATTTTATGCAGCACTAGTTGTCTGGGTATTGACAAAATAATTTACTGCCATCCCCTTTAATACATTCATTTTGGTTTGGAATCAAACCCACATTACAATGTTGGCATGTTAATAGCCAATTTAAGAATTGTCCCTACCGTAACTTCATTCATACCCAGAGCGATCGTTATCCCAGAAGTTGATAGTGAAAAGAAGAGGGATCTTGCACAGAGTCGGCTGACAGTAAATGTCCCATTGCAGCTAAATAAGTTAATTTAAACTCTCACAGCACCGAGTCTCTCGCATTGACATGAGCCGGCCATATGGAAGTGTGCACGCTGTAAGTAGGTGGTTACTCCTGGGTGCATGACAGACGCGCTGTTTGTGCAGATATGAGCTAGCACCGTATTTAAGCCATAAAAAAGGGTGCCTCAAGGCTCACAGGCAGTGCTGAAACGTTCATTAATCCGAGCACTGATAAGATAATCGCTCTTACCGACGCTATGCTAGATGTCACAATTTGGCAAGTCTGTACAAAGGAAGGAGACTAAGCAAGCGAAAACCAGGCCTGTCAGACTGAACGTTCTTTCTTGGCAGTCTTTGGGCTAAGCGAACCTGGCTGCTAAAAGAGCACACTCCTTCCTGGAAAGATACCAACGTCCTGAAGCCGCACGCAGGACTCTCCCTCTCTCCCAGACCATTCCCATACCTGTGCAATGTTATTTGTTTTAGCAGAACACACATATATATATATATATAAAATTTTCTTTTTATTATCATTTAAATGTCAGGCACTTAGGAAAGCTGAACTCGTTTTCGAGCCCCAGGAGACCTGATAGGTACGATCCCTCGCCTCTCCGCCAAATACGGAGGCATAGCCGCAGGATTATTCTTAGTCCTAGTGCCTACACATCTCCCAGGAAACATCCGCGTGCCGAGGCAGTCGTGACGTTTCCGAAAGCCGCTGCCTCGAGGTGCCCTCGGCGAGACCCTCCGGGAGGAGCGGGGTGCCCCACGTCCCCTCCGGCACCTGCGGCGACAGCAGCACCGCTGCCATGCCCCGGGGTGATGGCATCCCCTCTGCCCTCAGCGAGGACAGGCCACCGCAGGAGCCTCACAAGTGTGCACGTGTGCACGCACGCGTGTGCATGTGTGTGTGTGCGCAGGGAGAGGAGGGAGCAGGCTGTGGAAAGGAGAGGGGGCGCTTAAAAGGCTCCCACCTCCGTCCCCCAGGGCCGGTAGGGCTTGCTGCTCCCCGCACTGCCAGCCTGCTGGGGGCTGGCAGAGGCCGATACGGCCAACGGCGGGGTGATGGCCGTAGCTGCTGCCACGGCGGCGGCGGCTGCGCTCGGGGGCAGCATGGGGAAGGCGCCGGTGAAGGAGAGGGGGAAGCTCTGGGCAGCAGCGGTGGCAGCGGCAGCGGCGGCGTGAACGGTGGCTGAGAGGGAGAGGAGAGAGGTAGAGAGCGGGGGGACGCAGGGAGCCACGCTGCCCGCGGAGGGGACCCTGAGGGCGGCGTCGGCGTGGGCGAAGGTGGCGGTGAGCAGCGCGGAGCCGTGGGGAGGCACATCCGAGGAGAGTCTGCACGGGGCGGCCTCGGGGGCGTGGAGTCCATTGGGCTGCAGCAGGGCGGCCGGGAGGTGGTGGAAGGCGGCTGCCCAGTGGTGGGGGTGCAGGGGGTGGTGGTGGTGGGCCATGGAGGAGGTCATGGCGGCGGCTTCCCTCTGCGAGGCGCAGGTGCTGAGGTGGGACACCAGCCTGACGCGCAGCGGGTCGGAGGTGTCGAGGCCTTCCACGGACGTCAGGTACCTGGCGACTTCGGTCAAGCACTCCCGGAAGCCGATGCTCATGAAATCCATGGCCAGGGAGTGAGCATCGAAATAACCTGCAAGGGGAGGGCAAAAGACGCGCTGAGTGCCAAGCCGAGCTCCCAGCCGACATCGGGCGGCACGCCTAACTTCCCTCAGCCCCTGGGCTTGCCACTTAACGGGTTAAGGTCAGCCAGGAGAAAAGTGTGTTCTCCGGTCTGTAAATGATTTGTGTGACCATTCCTGTAATGCAATAGGCTATGGCTTGTTTTTTTTTTTTTTTTTTTTTGCATTCTGTATAAATGGAAAGAATTAAGACCATAAGTACTCGTGGCTCTTGAGAAGATACACGACGCCCCTCCTGCAATACCTCAGGAAGCCTCTGCAGTGTGGTGCTGACCCCGCATGTGAGTGAGGGAGACGTTTCTACGCACAAAGACGATCAGACAGCTCGTGAGCACTGTGCTGCCTTTTCTTCCCTACACCCACATTCACATCAACGCTCTTGAGCTATTTCTTGATGTTGTGAGATACTTGTGACTGCTGCTGGGGTCCCATCTACTTCACAGAGTCATTAGGACAATGTGGCATACGGTGTTATTTAACTACAAACTAAAAACATCTTGTCATGACTCTGCACACACACAATAAAAAGCTTTACTGAGAAAACGTTTTATGTAATGCCATTGCTAATTTGGAGATGGAAGACTGACGGTCATATGGCCCATGAGGCATTTCAGCAAACAGCAACTGGAGCTCCACAAGCTTGGGACAAAAAGCGTTTGAAAAAAAAATGTTTTATTAAATGCACATGAGAAGATACTCCCTTTCTAAAGGGTTTAGTATCAAATCCAGTGGTTAAGCTGCACCCCTTCAACTACAGAAAACAATTCCGCTTCAGTTTAAAGTTATTCTCCTTGGGAAAATAAAATCCTATCCACTCTCAAGCTACCATGGTGTTTTTTTCCTCTTGCTTTCAGTGAAACTTTTTAGGTATATGTGACTGTGATGTGTGTTAGTCTAGAAAGATCAAATGCCCTTATTACGGAGGACGCTGGCAGCAATACCTCGCACACTCTGGCATGAAATAATCTATGTATTTCTGAAAAATTCAAGCCACTTAGATGGCTGCTTTCACTTTTGCCAACTTTCAGGCTAGAGAAAAGCCTTTCTGTGGCTGTACATCCGCATCGTAGAACAAACGCAGGCACATTTACAGATGTCAGCCCTAATCCCCAGCCTTCTATACACCACCAAATTTCAGCGGTGCTTTTGACTCAGGCTACTTTGTCTACCTGACGCTGTACAAGACCCCAGAAAAACCCTTGCCAACTAGCAGATTGGTGAGTACAACAGGTTGGGGATTTTTGTCAGGACACAGACTCCTCTGTCACAACCATTCTGAAAACACAGCGATTTCAGTGCACTTCTGACAAAACAAAAACAGGCAGGCAGGCAGTGAGTGAGCTAGTGGGTGCCTGCCTGGTGGCCAGCAGCTTGGCTTGGGGACTGCCTCCGCGCCACAGGCCCCAAGGCCTCCCTCCCTCCCTCCCTCCCTCTGGACTGCAGACATGAGGGACGTGGCTGTCCCCAGCTCCCCCCAAGCCTGAGCTGGCTCTGTGATGAGCCCTGGCCATGCCAGCTCCTTGTCAGTCTCCTACGAGGTGGCCAAGACATGGGAACGGGAGTACACCAGCCAAGTGACTCGGCACTCCCAGCCCATGAGGGGATGGGGCTCCAGGCACTCAAGTGACGGGGCAGAGCCGTGCACCCGTCCTGCACAGCCGCCAACGGCTCCGACCCAGGTGTCAGTCACCTGAGCTCAATTTGCACTGAAGCTGCAATAAAACGACACCAAGGTCCCAGCCAGCTACTTGCTGTTGGCTAATTGCTCTTCCCCTTTGCTTGCTTGTGCTGTCAGCAAAAAGCGCTGGCCCCGGGCCAAGCAACAACTCGACACGACCACGAGACCATCGCCTGCACCTGCGTCAAAACACACCGAGTCCACGCAGGGCTGCAGGAGCAGCAGCTCCCTGCCTGACTCCCTGCCTCCCTCCCTGCCTGCTGCAGAGGCTCCAAAAAGCCGAGGCCACATCAGCCTTTCTGCTGCCGTGCCCACCTCAGATTTAGCATGCTGAGCAGCTGCCAGCACCACCCAGCCTCGGGCATCCTCAGTTTGTGTGCCAGGAAGAGGAGAACAGGCTGTCCCCAGCTCTCAACTCAGGGCAGCGTAAGGGTACCGGCACCCATTTCTCCCCCCCGATAACAGCTTTTGTCCATAGACAAAATGATGGAACTCATGCTTTTTTTCTGATCCAAGGAAGTTTCTGGCTCAGAAGATGAGTTATGAAGTGGGAATAGCTACACTTGCAAATTAAACAAATGTCAGCCTTAAAAAACACCCTAAGAAATTGTATTTAAAGCTGTTACTTAGGGTGCAAAGTAAAACATTAAGCGAGCAGGAAACATAGGCTTAAACTTTGCCCGGTACTAACTTGCAGACCTCTTTTCTTAAAGTTTGTTAATCTGCGCAGTGAGATTACCCTTATCTCTGGGTCAGAAGGAGAAGATAAAGCCGCAGCATTTGTGAAACAGCTAAGTGTTAGACCAACATGCCACCCACTACGGGCCCCGGGGCAGCAAGGAAGGCTTCGCCAGGCTTCGAAGGCGGCTTTGGTTGCCCACGGGTGGCAGTGGGCTTAAGCGGGCACCTCTCCCTGCACCCTGACAGCCCTCACTCTCTGCCTGACAGCTCCCATCCCCAGCACCTCCACCCCTGACATATTATCTGGGCCACCCGACCTGAGCCGGTTATAAAACAACCGCCCACACTGCTTGCTTTGGGTGGGGAGGAAGCGCAGAAGGAGGGCTCCTGTTAAATCCCATGGGGTTCACCTCCTGGCCCTACCGCTGTCGGTACAGATTCTGGAGGGGGGAAACTGCAGCAGCTTTTACGAGGAATGGTGCAGCATGATGCACAGCTCAGGCTGCAATAGCCGGGCTCCGTGTTGCACGGGGAGGATGCAACGAAGCAACAACCACCGCCCTCAGCATATGAGCCTTGCTCGCTCTGGGCACCAAATGAGACGGACCTTGTGGAGCAGCAGCGTGCAATCATGTAATTAAAGGCTGCACCACCACGTCGGCACACGAGATGATCTGGATTCAAATTGCATAAGCACGATAAATTCTGGTGTTTCGTAACTTTCAAGAGCGTCGCTTTGCCAACTAAATAGTGGCCTTTAGAGGACATTTTTCCCTGCATGCAGTGACATAAAATTAACATTTTTGTTAGGGTTTATTTTGCACATTTGCCTAGAATATGTGTCTGTTATATGAAGGGCAATAAAATCCCTTTCACCTCTAACAGAATGTGCTATCCTTAAATTTTAAGCTTAGATGAACTCCTAACAAAAGTCTCTTAACACCTAGAAAATACACATATCAGCTCGGTGTTAATTTTTAACAAATAACAGAACACCAGCCTCCAACAGGCTTTCCTGTAGGAAACCATTTGTTGTCATGCACGTGCTGACTTTAAGTCGACTCCTGTAATCACTGCAAGAAGGTACAGAGAGATGCAATAACCCAATCCCGTGTAAAAAAAATTTAGTTTAATTAAAAAGAAAAAAAAAAAAAGGAGAAAGTAGAAGCGGTAGCCTGTTTTGTAGCCGGTACCTACACGGCACAATGGGTCAATGAAAAATTGTCTGGTTTGCATCACAGCAGTTTGAACCATAACCACGACTAATGGCACGTGAGACGGTGCTTGCAGAAGGCAAGCAAGTTTTCTGCTCCCAGTAACTTCCAAAATCACGACTCCGGAGAGTACCTCGTGGGTGGCTGAAATCGCTTGGCCTCCAGCCTCGGGACTGTCAGCTTGCACAAGCGAGGCGCGCTCGGCTCACGGCAGCCGGCTGATCGAATGGGTCAGCCAGTGCGGCCCCTGCGTCACGCCAGCCCTGGCTGAGGAGGAACTACCCAGACCTCTGACAAACAAATAGAGCACGTAAATAGGAGCGCAGATAGCACCACTATCAGTCTGCCCGCCGGCCCGTCTGATACCTAGAGCTGCGTATCCCGAGGCTGGATTTTGTTCTGGGGGATGAGGCTGTCTAACCTCGCATTTTACAAGTCTCTCCAGAACAAAGCAAATGCACCAACAATAACGAAAGCTCCTCTCCATCCACTTCCTTTGGTATAGCTGCTGTATAATGAGCCTTAACATTGGTTTTGCGCTCCACAATTGTTGCCACAAACCTCCTGTTTATGTTTGGTGTTTGTGTATTTGTTTTGTCTCCCTGTGCAGATTTCAGTGCTCTTTGGAAACCCCAAACAAATCTCTGACTGGGCTGCCTGTGAATGAAGCCTTTACTCCCACAGTGTTATGAAAGCAAACACAAGCCCAGGGTCAAGTGCTTCTTTTGTCCCAGTAGTTCTTTCCCACGAGTTCAATCCTGCCATTAGCATTGATTTCCACTCCTTTAATCTGGAAACGCCTATCACAGCTCGTCAAAGCGCTTTTTGCTGAGATTTCCCCAAGTATCAGAAAAGAAACTGTCCTCTCCTTACCTTTACCTCCGGTCGCCTGAAGCATCTTCAGATGATCCACTGTCATTTGCAGTATTTCCGCTTTTTCTAATTTGGCAGATCCCTTTGAGATAAGAGACTCGTGTAAATAAAGGCTTATGAGCACTAGAAACTTGAATTTGATATACTTTCCACTGCGCTCAGCCTTACGGTTTCAATTTCCCCTATCACTAGGACATTCTCAGCTTAATTCTTTCATGAGCATCTGCATCCCAGACATGGTCTGAGGACTAATGCTGTCTCCTGCCTAGCAATACAACCATCAGCAGCAGCACAACTTGGCTTTATTGAGGCTACAGTTCAGTGTAACTGGCCTTGAAGCTGGTGCAGAGGTAACATCTTCATGAAACGAGAGCAGCACACTACTTCCAGCATGTTCTCTTTAACCAAACAACCGCCAAAAATGAATGGAAACCCATCAGAACAGGTCTGCAGAGTTAGTGATGAGGACCCTGCTGCAGCATTTTTTTTTTCTGCTTTTACCAGTAGGTGTCCCTGTGGACACACACCGAAAAGTATCCCTCTTCCTTAATAGCCTATTAATTTTTGACATGTCATTTGGCTGCTGGATATTCTATTCTCATTCTCTACTGAAAAAAGAAACAATCACACAGCCCACGGCTTTTAAAGTTATTGAGAGGCCTCATTTGCGGGGACATGAAGCTGAGTGCCATGAAAAAGAAAGAGCTCAGCTCCTCTGTCAGTGGAGCTTTCCTGTTACTGGGGATGGCTCGCACTGCTATGGGTGCTGGAAAAGTCTAAGACGCAAACCCAAAGGTAGTGATAATACATTAATCTACCAAATAAATAAATAAATACATTTCCCTGGAATATCTGGAGCATGACCCTGCAGCACGGGCAGGGAGCTCGGCCACGGGGCTCGCAGCGGGCCGGGAGCCGGGCGGGAGGCAGGCAGAGAGGGCAGGCGGAAGCGCAGCAGCCCCCGCTCGGACACTTCAGTGAGCTGAATGTCAAGGAGCTGACAAAGGGCCGATGACTTTGTCCTTGGCATATCGCAGAGGAATGGCAGGGGTTTCTGAACAAAAAGTGTCGCACGCTTATTTTTACCCCCATCCATGTTTTTTTTTTTTAAGATTCTCTTCCTGCTTTCGGCATTTCCTTATAAAATTTCGGTGCCCTGGTGAATTTTTGACCAGAATTCTGCATTTTACATGCGGCTACATCCTGTGCTTTTCTCAGACTTCATCTTTTCCATAGACACAGTACAAGCCGTCTCAGTGAGAGTGACTAATAGCTAAAAACTGCATGTTGCTGGGTAATTTCCAAAGGCTCTGTAGGACTTGTTTTATAATGTTTGTGGTTTTCAAGAAGTAAACAATAAAATGGGACAAACAACTGTTGTCTCTTGCCCCTGTTTATCTAGCTGGAAATGCCTCTGTCGCTCCATTTTGCCAGAGCCTACAGAAGGGCTCGGCTACCACTGCAAGTTATTAAAAACATATTGCAGGTGACACAAGGGATGCTCTCGCTATCATTGCAATACTCCAAATTTCTTTCTAGCTGTCTTTTGTTCTTGTAAGAAGAGATGTAACAGGCCTCGTACAGGGGGGTGCTAGCTGCTCTTAGCTACTCCAGAAATTCAGCGCCCCACGGGCCTGGTCTCAAAGTTTACTTTCTGTTTTTTATCTTTGATTACGAGGAAGTCAGCCTCGTTATTCTCAGCTGGTGCCTCTCGCTCAGGCTCAGTATCACTTGCACAGATCCACAGATCTGATATAATCCATAAAACAGGAACAATGTTAAATACTGAACCAAGACCCCCCCAGAATAAAAAAAAATCAAGATATGGAAAAGTAACTAAATAATTTAATTTGAATGGCAGAAGCAAAGTTCACTTTTTGCAGCACTGATTGTATTCTAAACTTTTGGCCTGCAACTTCACAACCTAGGAGCTGAACCCAAGTTCACCGAAGTCAGCTGCATCCTTCCAGCCGTCCCATTGAACACTTTCTCACCAAAAATCCTTGCAAATACCGCTGACTTCCCCTGCTCACACTGCCTGGGCCTGGTCCTAAGGCACTGGTTCTAACCAGCCATTTTAAAACCTGAATCATCCAAACAGCCTGTTCGCTTCTTGGGAAACCAGACCCATTAGTTTGCCACTGAAATTGCAGATTAAAAATGAAGGCTCCCTAGCGAAGGGACAAAGGAGACTAAAGATTTATAAGGAAAGCTAATCAACATACAGGTTTGGAGGGCTTGCTTGTTGTTGTTGTTGTTGTGTGTTTTTGTTTTTTTTTCTTTTACTATGAAGTAAAGTGCATTTTTAACAAAACCACTACTGGAATTCATCGAAAGAACAGAGGCAACACGAACACTGTTACCCTTAAGGGAAAACAAGCCAAAGAATGGAAATGTTTTTCAGCTTTATGATGAATTATGTTCCTAATAGTTTCGCCACAACAAAGCATTTTATTGAAATGCCTGCTTTGTGCCAGATCAGGACACATACAATATTATTTTAATGAGCTTTACAAGAGAACTAACATTGCCAGATGAGATACAGAATAAAAAAAAAAAAAAAAGGGCTTACTTGTTTTTCAAAAGCAGTTGGCACAAGCCGCCTCAGCTCAGATAAACTGTTATTTATACGATCACGGCGCCTTTTCTCTATAATCTAGTCCCAAAAACAAAACACATTAAGTTTATAAATACGTTGAAGGGCAAAATCTCACAGCACACATGCAAATTGTCACACGGGAAAAGAATGAAGCAAAACATACCCCTCTTCTTTTCTTTCGGGCCATGATCTGAGACGTTGTTGTTGGGGAGTTCGATCGGATCACAGAACTATTGCTTTGCCTGCAGGACAAGAAAAGCATGTCAGGTGCTGCACGGCTTGCCACCGCTCTTTGGAGATACTTTTGGTCACCGCATTAAGCATTCCCAGTCCCCTCTCTGCTGTTTTAAATGCTGGGAGGAGAGGCTTTGCACCGCACGGTGCTGTTGCAGAAAGAGACATTGCAGTTTTGCTTGCTCCACTGCCAGAACCTCTGCTGGAAATAAAGTCCCTGTCTGAAGACAGCTCGCTGTCCAGCTCAGCCCACTTCGTCTTCACTGTATATAGCCATGCCTATAAAATACAGTCTGGAGAACCGAGTCCAAAGGAAAACACGGGTATTATCCGCCCGTGCTGGCAGCAGTAGGTGCATGCAATGTCACAGCTCCCCCCGGCCAGCCAGGTTTTGTCGCTCCCGTCCATCACCTCCATGTCCATGGGTGCCCGCGCAGGAAGCCGGGATCCCTGCCCACGTCCGCGGCTGGCCCAGCACCAGGAGCAGGATGCAAAACCCGCTTTTAAAACTGCACTGCCCGCAAGTATGGAAAGGTTTTTCCTTCTCCACGAGGGAGCAACAAGCGCGGTGGCCGTCTGGCTGTCATTCATCCCCCGATGCGGACAAGACGGCACCGGTGGGGTGCCTCCGAGGTGGCCACAGCAACCCCAGCCCCGCGCAGCTCCCCCCGGCCCCATGGCAGTGAGCACCCCGGCCCCGGCCACCTCGGGCTCGCCTTATTTCCAGCCTCGGACCCCAAGCACCCGGCTGCAGGGCAGCAGGGACTGGGGGGCTCGGGGGCGGCCCCGACGGGGCGGCCCCGCGTTGAGCCCATCGGGGGGGCTCAGCCCGCTGCCCCCCGGGCACAGCAGCCTCCCCCCGGGGTGGGGAGCACTCACCCGGAGTAGTTGTTCTCGCTCCCCACGTCTATAGTCTCGTCCATGTCGCTGTCTGAGGTAGTTTCCTCGCAAGGTCGCTTCATGGCGGGCAGGGGACGCAGCTCGGAGCCGGGCCGGGGGCAGAGATAAATAAATCCGGGAGCTTCGGGCCGTGGAGAGGGGGGATTGGGGGGGGGGGAGGAAGAACGGCTCCGGCTCGGCTCGGCACGGCTCGGCACGGCTCCGCACCGCCAGCAGAGCAAACCCTCTGTGAGGCGCTTTCCCACGCCGCGGCACAGCCTCAAGCCCGACGGCCCGCCCCCGGCGAGGCCCGCCCCGTCGGGGGGCACGGGGACGAAGGGAGGGGGCCGCCCACCGGGGGGGCGAGGGCACGGCGGGGACCGGACCCCGGCCCCGGAGGGCGGGGGGCGAGGGGAGAGGTAAGGCGGGGATGGGGCGCGGGGGAGATGGGGTTGGGGGGGGCATTTTCCCACTGGCATTTGGGGGATCCGGCCCGCCCCGTCCTGCGAAGCCCCCCCCGGGCACCTGGAGGGGGGAGCCGAGCCTGGGAACAATCCTGCTAGGAGCGGGCCGGGGGATGCTCGGCTCGCAGGAGGACCCGCAGCTGCCGGCTTTTATCCTGCTTCGCTCTGGGATTTATTTTCTTTCCCCCCTGTTTGTTTGCCTCGCGTTTTCTTAATCCCGGCTCCCTGACAGAGCCCGCTCGGGGCGCCCTGTGCCCCGCTGCCTCCCTCCCGGACCCCCCCCCCGCCTTCCCCGGGCCCTTCGCAGCCTGCCCGGGAGCCTCGTCCAGGACCGGGGGAGCCGGGGGTGACCCGGGAGGGAGCGGGGGGACGGGGGGCGAGGCGGCGCCGGGCTGAGGCTGGGGCTGAGATTGGAGCTGGGGCTGGGGCTGAGGCTGCCCGGCCCCGGAGAGGGCGAGCACCTGCCGGAGGGCGACGGAAACTGGAAGGCAGCTCGTGTTCGGCCTCCGCTGGAGCCGGCGAGGCCGTGTTCCCGGCCGGCTCCCCCCGCTGGAGGTACAGGTGGCTGGGGTGGCTTGCGGGCGGCGAGGGGCGATGCTGAAGGAGGAGGCAGGGCCGGCTCTGCCGTGCCCTCCTGCCCTCCGTGCATGCGGTTGCGTTTTGGTGGCACGCCGGCTGTTTTGGTGTTTCGTGCGGGTGTCGCTGCTCTGTAAGGAGCAGGGGATTGCGTGCCCCGTCGCCCTGCGGGACATCCTGGTGGTGCTCGCAGTCCCCGAGAGCCCCGCCGCTGCTACACACAGCCCGCAGGACGGGCAGGGGCAGCTCCCGGGGACTCAGGGCACAGCCCCGCATTGGTCCCTTTTGATGGTAGCTGGCCAAAAAAACCCACCCCAAAACCCAAGGGCAAACCAAAGCAGAAGAGGATGGGGACCTTTGGGGAGGGAAAGTCCTGCTCTAGCAGGAGCAGCCTGCGGCGTGCGGCTCCGACTTGCAGCACAGCCCGGGAGCAGCCTCAGCGTGTACCGGCCGCCGGCAGCTCTCCGGGATGAAACAAATCAATAAAAACGTAAATACCAAAAATTGCCTGCTTTTTCTGCTCCTAAAGGCTCGGGGGGCCTGCGAGGGCCGGGACGGCGGCCGGGGAAACGGGCTGTGGCCGGCGGAGGACGGGACAATCTTGAATCCCCCCAAAATATTGCGGCCACCCTGAGCTCTCGGGGTTTTACACGGGAATCTTGAACGTGCCGCTAGATGTGTAATTTCTGCTCGCCCTGGAAGTAGCTCCCTGCTCCCTTACGATTTTTTATTTTTTCTTCCCCCCCGGGGCACAAGCCTCCCGTGCCTGTGTCTTACAGAAACCTGAGCTCTCCTGTGTTTACTTCCCCAGGCAGGGCTTATGTCAGCCTTGGTTGTCGTGGATCCGGCCGCTAAATCCTCCTGACAACCTTGCTGAAATCCCTCCTCCGGGAAACTCCTGATGTTAACAGGCAACTACTATTTCCATTTTAACCAGATTAACTTTCTTGTCCTTTTCTCCTTTTCTCCTTTTCTTCTTTCATCCTTTCATCGTTTCCTCTTTTTTTTCTCTTTTCTTTTTTTTTCTTTTCTTTTCTTTCTTTTCTTTTCTTTTTCTTTTTCTTTTTCTTTTTCTTTTTCTTTTTCTTTTTCTTTTTCTTTTTCTTTTTCTTTTTCTTTTTCTTTTTCTTTTCCTTTTCCTTTTCCTTTCCTTTTCCTTTCCTTTTCCTTTTCCTTTTCTTTTCTTTTCCTTTTCCTTTCCTTTCCTTTTTCTTTTCTTTTTCTTTTTCTTTTTCTTTTTCTTTTCTTTTCTTTTCTTTTTCTCTTTTTCTCTTTTTTTTTCTTCTTCTTCTCCTTCCTTTTTTTCCCCCCTTTTCCCCTTTTATTTTTTTTCCTTTTTTTTTCCTTTTTTTTTTTCCTTTTCCCCTTCTTCCCTCTCTTTCTCCTTATTTCTTTTTCTGTTTCTCTTTCTTTTTCTTTTTCTTTTTCCTTTTTCTTTCTTTTTCTTTTTCTCTCTCTCTTTTTTTTCTTCTTCCTCTTTTGCTTTTTCTCCCTACCTTCTCCTCGGCGGAGGACTCCCGGGCTTTTCCGGGAGGCAGCGGGGAAGGCAGGCCCCCGGGCTCCCTGCCAGCCCCCCGCCCGGCCCGGGGCTCTCCCGGCGGCAGGTGCGTGGCACCCAAGGGGGCTCTGAGGGGCTCCTCTCCCCCGGGGTCAGCAGCAGCAGCGGCGGGGCCGGGCAGGAGCTGCGGGATTTCAGCTCCCAGGGAGCCGCCGTCGCGGGATGAAGCCCCGCTAGGACTGCTGCTGAGCGGGGTGAGAGCCGCTCTGCCTTTCCCGTCCCGGTGCCCCGCAGCGGGGCCCTGGGGCTGCTTGCTGCGGAGGAGCCGCCCGCCCCGCCAGCAGCAGGCAGCCCGCAGCTCGCTGCTCTGAGATCCCGGGCGAGAGCATCCCCCGGCCTTCCCCGGCGCTCGTACCCCGACGGTAACAGCCGGGCTGCCCCCACTGGGAGCCCCGGACCCCAGTCCCCGGCATCTCCCCCGGCAGGCCAGGCAGCCCTACAGGACCACAGGACCGACAGCGACCCCCGGCCCCGCCGCCGTCGGGGGGACGGTGCCCTGCGACTCTCCGGCTTTTGCTCTGCTTCTTCTATTTTATTTTTTTTCCCCCATTTTGTGCTGTTTTTCCTCTCGAGAACCGCGGTGCGTTGGCGGCTGCGGGCTCCCCGCCGCGGGTGAGCCGGGGCCGCATCCTGCCCGCCGGGAGCCGCTGCGGCGCTGCTGGAGGGGGTTTGGGAAAGGAGGAAATCGGGGCACCTCTCCCTGCCTCCCCTGAGCCGCCCCCCCGGCGGGGACCGCTCTTCTGGCCCCCTTTCCCCCCCAGGAGGATCTGCCCGAGGTGTTGGGGGTGCCCCTTGCAGGCGGCAGCGAGGTGCTGGAGGTGCTGGAGGTGGCAGCTCTAAAGGACATCCGAAAAATGAGCGTGGGCTCCTCACTGAGTGGCTGCTTTCACCCAACTGCTCTCTTCCAGGGGCCCCAAGGCTCTCCCCAGCTGCTTTTCTGGATGCAAACGGCACGTAAACTTTTAGTCCTAGAGCTGTTTTTATACTTTACTATCTCACTTTTAAACAAATACTTACACCCCATTCCCTTCCCCCAGTAAGCAGCCCCTTACGGGTAACTGTTATGCTGCTTTTAATTTGCTTTCTCTTTTTAGGAAGCTTTAAGAGTGGTAAAGAAAGACAAACAGCATTGCTATCGACAGCGAGGCTGTATTTTCTTCTTGACAGACTCGTCATTGACTTCCAGGGAATGCTGAAAAACGAGAAAAAGATTTCTCGCCCTCTTCTCTCCCCTCCCCAGTCTGAATGTAACTAAAAGCTTGAGATGACTTCTAGCCATATTCATACCAACGCGGTATAGGCAGAAGGAGCAGAGAACTGCAGAAACCCTGTGCTATAAATCCAAGGGAAATAATGCTCAAAAAAGGTGAAGAGACCATCAGGCACATGTCTGTGCCCAACAGGCAGCATTCCAGGTGTTTCGGCATCAGGGAAGGGGATTTGATGGGGTGTTTGGGGGTTGTAGGCCTCCAGCTGATGGGTCAGGGAAGGGGCTGAGCACTAGGGAAGTGCACTGCCCCGCGTACTTCCCTTCATTTCACTTCAGTGCTGGGAGGTATAAAAATTGCATGGAGATTTGCAATTACAAACTATGATTTAGAGCCAGTTATAAGTTAAAAAAAAAATAAAAAAAATAATAAAAAGGTATCGGATTGAGGAAGGGAAATAGAGCGGTTATTTATAGCTCCTTCGCAGTGACATCTTTCAATGGTTCTTATTCAGTTACACCTCCACCAATCTGATCATGGTGAAGCAGTGAAGCAGACTATCAGGTTTTACGCTGTCCACTGAAAACACAGGTCCGTGTGCCCTGTGATGTGCACTTCCCTGCTGTCAGTGCCTACAGAGGTCAATGAATGCACTCTCCTGGGTCGAGTGCTTCCTCCTGGCCCCTCGTCGATATGTGCTGCATGTCTGTGCGGTCCTCCCGTTAAATGCATGAAATGCTTGAGCTGTCACTGCTTCATAGGTGACAGGGAAAGACAGGAACACCTCCTCCGGCTCAGGCAGAACCGAGCACCCAGGGCTGTGCCATCTGGTGGTAACGAGGACAGTGGAGCAGCACCCCAAGGAGGCTGGGCTGCTGGCAGGTTAAAAAGCCTACAGATGAGAGCATCACGCTTTACTCTTCGCACCTTTGCATGATTCCTATGTGAGCTCAGGCAGTCTGGACAATTAATTCCATTAGCAAAGGGTGTAAATTAAAAGTGGCTGTGAACTGCATTGAACCTCAATTTGCATGGTCTTATTCACAACAAAAGTGGCTGCAATTTGATTTAAATTAATTCACTTTCGGAATAAAATAACATTGAATAGAATAAAAGCAGTTTTAATTTTGAATGGATGTCTACATAGAATAGTTTGTGGTTTAACTAATCCATTTTAAAAATTAACTCTATTAATTTTCCTGGGCATTTCCATCTTGTTTAGCTTGCTTTTTCTCTCTGTTTTAGTCCCCTATCAGTAAAATTGAAATAGCAATCGCCTGCTAACATTTTAAACTCACTGTATCGAAAACTCCAGGCAATTGCTGCATTTTACCTTATACTCAGGGCGTACGTTCCTCAAAAGCCAGGTCTTGATTTTCTACACATGTGCACAATTCTTGCCTGGCAGTATATCACGGGCTCTGTACACAGCTGTGCACGGCCACACAAGACATAGAGCAGTGGGGAGTGAGGGCTTTGCTCTGCGTTTCAAACTCACCGAACATCTCCTTGGCTTTGGCTCTGTGTTTTCTTCAGACACTATGGGCCAAGATTTGAGAGCTCTCTAACTTTTGTCGTCTTAATGAACGGCCTCAGTGGTGTTAATGGGAACTGGGGCACTTTCTTTATTAATGGAAATCAGGTCACTTAATTACCTAACAAAAATATACAGAGCTTAATCTCACTGTTTTCTGCACAACCTGAATTACTAGCTTTACTTTAGGGAGAGTTCTACTAAAATTGATACAGCTGTAGCGAGGATAAGATTATATATTCATAACAGACATAAAATACTTATTGTTAACATGAGCACATAAGCATAGCCCTCTTACTGAAAGTCATTTCTGTCTAAACACATTTTCACAGCGGTGTGGCATAGTTTGATTAGCCCATGACACGCAACTATGGAAAGGCTAGATGAACACGTCCTGCGCAAAAACGGGGAACTTCTATTTTTTTTTTAATCAAAGCTTGGTGGCTTTTGGACTAAAGAAATTCTTTAATTCAACACCCCCCCGCCCCCTGCCCCCCGCTTTCTTCACCATTTTCCTTTCTTTCTTGAATGTTTTCACTCCAAATGGGACTTCTTTTGTGCATTTCAGTTGCCAAAAACTGAAGAATTGTCATTACTTGAGTTTTGTTGTTGGTTGTTCTTTTAAAATAAAAACCAAGATGTTTTCCAGAGAGTTAGGAAGGAACCAATTTTCAGAGAGTGTTAAGGAAACAGCAGTGGCTTTAGCT